CCATTGCCTAATGTTGTCATTGACTGAAGCATTAAATACACTTATTTTTACGTTGCTTTGTGTGTATACCCAATAGATAGCTGCCAACAATCCAGATTACGATTCCTAGTAAGAAACAGTCTCGGTAGCTCTCTGTGAAGGTTTTTTTTTTTTTATCACATTTGCTTTTCTTTCATTTATGTTGCTGTATCTCTGCATGTGTGCCCACATGGCCACCTCAAGTGGAGGTTAGACAGAAAAAAGCTTGCTAGAGTTCTTTTCTTCCACTATGTGTGTCCCAGAAATGGAACTCAGGCTGTCCAGCTTGGTAGCAGCAAGAGCCTTTACCTAATGAGACTTCTGTATCTGGCTGGCCTCCTCTGTAGATTTTAAAGACAAACAAAAAAACCCATAATCATTTTGATACAAGTTCCGTTTTCCATTCTTGTGACTGTTTGTTTGTGTAACCAGGTTGGTCTTGAACCTGCAATGATCTTGTCTCATTCTTCCAGGGGCTGGGTTTACAAGTAGTAGCGTTTTTATTTAGAATAAGTAGTATAGTTAGTAGGTACAGATATGCATAGGGAACATTAATTTTGTGTAATGTAAGGAACTGTGTTTGCTTCGGCATTTATTCAATGTTTTGTGTAATCTTGGTGGCATAGCCTTTCCTTTGGCTCTTTGTGTGAGCAGGCATATGATACATTCTTGCATACTTTTACAAAAATAAAAAATTCTAGCCCTGAGGACTGAAGCCTGAGGTATAAGCCCTTGAGACAAGTACAGGAATGTCTTCATGATAGAATGTCACCTGCCAGAGAAGCTAAAGGTTGCCAGTTCACTTATGCAACTGTTCTCTGGCCCCACACCCATAAGCCTTTCCCTCTGCTGCCCCTTGAACAGGAAGGTGGTGTAAAGGGAACATAGGAAGGTTGGCCTGGAGACAGTGTATCTAAAATCATAATAGTTGTAGAACTAAAATGGAATTTAGTGTCTAGTTCCTGAATTTGTCTATATTGTAAGTCTTCATCTTTTTCCATTAGACATTCATCTTTGAACAAATTGTGCAGATTTGTGTGGCAAAATTTCAGACATTGAGCCACCTGACCCCAAGAAATCTATCATTGGGTTTGATTTGGAAGGATTTGTGTATTTTAAAGCTGATCAGATACATGACATTCTCTCCTGAACCCTTGTGTAAATCTCTGTAGTGGGTGTCTGGGTAATCACTCCATTATCTCGCCTAACAAAATTCACAGTAATTCCCTAACATCACCCAAGTCCATTAGATCTGCATAGATCATTAATGTCATAATATCTTTTATACTGGTTTGTTAACCAGAGTTCAGTCAAAGACCTTTTTAAATGGATGCTTTTTGTTACTTGTTTAAAAATGGGCTTTGTGTTTTTCCGTGTTAAATATTTTATTTGTGTACCTTAGTGGATTGGCCAAGGAATCAAACTTTTTTAGAGGCACCCAGTAAATAGTTTAGGTCTACATGTCTTACTCAGAACCATTTACCTATGCTGCAGTCACTATGGAAACAGAAGCATGGCTGAGTTCCAGTAAAACTTTTACTAACCAGGTATTGGCCCGTGACTGTTGTTTGTTGACCCTGCCTAACCTGTTAGGATCTGGTTCTTTCCATCTGTTGCTGTAAAGGCTCTCAAGGTTTCTGTCAACTCATTCAAAAAATGTTCAGTTACCACATTTTCCTGTAAATCTATCTACAGCTTGGATGCATGTTACTTGCTGTGTTCCTGATAACAATATTTCACTCTCCCTTTGCTGTGCATATGATATCACCAGTTTACAGAAGAGGGGCTGAAGACTTGCAGAGAGCTGGCAACTGACCAGTGTTACAAAGCGAATACAAGCACCATGACAAAGCCCTTCTCTGCAGTTGATGCCACGTCTCAGAAATGGGAAAGAACATTCTTTTTCTATAAGGCAAAATAGGATGTCTTTATTTTTTTCCCTTGTTCTCAGGGGAGTGTTGACTGTTGGGTAATATGATGGAATCAGGGAATACAATGTCTGTTTCCCTTTCTACTGTTTGGGAGCTTTATAGAGAATATGATGATAGTGTGTCTGGCTTAGAAGAGAGAGATCTCTCGGGACTGAATGAGTGGGCCTGTGTGACATGGTGACTTGGTCTGTTACCCATCTTGCCCTACTTTTACCTCTTCTCAAATTATGGATACTAATTTTGTGATCAAGCCTTCCGGGCTCCTCCAACACCCACAGCTGCAATACCCATCTCGTAGAGCAGCAAGATTCTTCTGTTGTGTAGAAGCGGATTTAGTTTATTTTACTTTTTTGGTCCTCCATTAAATGTTAAGGTTACTTTTGCTTTGTTTTTAAGATAGTGTTTATTGTGGCCTCTCAGTTTAAATCTGTGGAAAATGTGGTGTGGCTGCTGGTGATGAAGCTTGTCTTCAGAGCCGGGAGGTGGCAGTGTTTTCCAGGCCATTCAAGGTTGCAGCTGCTGAAGTAACTTTGTAGTGAATATCAACCACCAGGCTAGAAAGCCAGAAACCTAGATAGAGATGCTGTACTGTCCATACAGTCACTGCACGGGATGGGGGAGGGGGAACGACTTCAGCTTACACAGCTCACTGTACAGAGTGCTGGGAACACAGCTTTTCAAGGGAAACAGGACAGCTGTAATTTTAAACACTTGATTTGGAGATATTTGACAAATCAAACTCAGACTAGGTGTTTACTTGATAAATGAGACAAAACACATGATTAAGTTATTTTCTATAATATATGTCCTGGGCAGTGAGTATGCAAGTTATTGATACCTAAAATAGAAGTAACTTTATTTTTTTTTTTTTATCAGTAAACCTAATACGTATTTGTTGATTTACAAATTCAACATCGGGGCTGGGATATAGCTCAGTTGGTAGATTACAAGTTAAAGTTCATCCTTGACTATATAAAAGCCTGGCTCAAAAAACAAAAACAAAATCCAGATTCTCCTGGAAAAGAGGAAGAAAAGGTCACTACAATGTGCTATTCTCTGAATGGAGAAGTTAACATTTACACACACACACACACACACACACACACACACACACACACACACGCGCGCGCGCGCGCATATATGTAAATAGATGACCAAAATAAACTATCAGGACCCCACACTGGTTAACTTTGTGCATGTGAGTGCCAAAAGAGACCAGAGCCATTGGATTCTCTGGAGCTAGAGCTAGAGATGTTTGTGAGCCTCCTGATGTAGGTACTAGGAACCGAACGCATGCCCTCTGGAAGAGCAGCAAGTGCGCTTAACCATTGAACCATCCCTACATAATGTTCTACACTAACATCATGAACCTCCATCTAAGCTTTTGTGTTTTATACTATTCATAAAAGTATATGTTGGGCCTGAAGAGGTGGCTCAGTGACTAAGTGTACTTCCTGCCCTTGCAAAGGACCTGGGTTCAGAGCCCAGCACCCATATGGTGGCTTACAATCATCTGTAATTCCAGGTCCAAGGGATCTGATGGTTCTTCTGACCTTTGAGGGAGCACTCCTCCACACATGTGGCCCACAGACATACATATACATACATATACATATATATATATATATTTCATAGTGTGTGTGATGCTCTTTAACCAGCCCTTTTAGATGGGGACAGCATGTCTGTGCTATTTCTGGTTTCTATGTATATACTTGTTTATTCTTTGCTTGGCTCAGTTACTATTAACTGACAGCAATTCCACGAGTGCATACATATTTTAAATTTGATAAGCCAAAATAAATTATTCATCCAAGAAAAACAGTAACAGAAATTTTTTAATGTTATTAGTATTGACAGGCAATGAAAACATACACCCAATAAAGTAACCCTGAAACACCAGGTTATAATGGCCTTCAATGTCTATACAAAAAAAGAGAAAAGGAATTCAAGCTTAAGTATTTTTCAGTGTAAGAAAGTAGGAAGTAGGAAATGAATCGATAAATCTAGGGGAGGAAATAAGCATGGGGAAAAAAAATGCAGAGAGGAACAGAATAGAAAGATTTATCAGCAAGGTGTAAGGGACAGAGAAACCCTGGAGAGCAACCCCAGAGTTAAAATGTGAGCTGTGCTGATGTGCTGTGACCAAGGCCTGTGTGGACCAGTAAGAAAGTAGAAGATATGGAAATTTAAATTTAGCACAAATACAGAAGACATCAGTTGTTCTAAAACACTTAACAATACTGAATTTGTTTTCAAAAAAGAAAAATCTCAAGCAAATAACAGGTTCAAATATTTTGAAAATAAACTCATATTTTTCTGAGACAGGCATAACCTTGATACTCAAGTCATACAGTACAAAAAAGTGTATGTATACATATATATGCTATAATTATAACCATTAAAATCTTACTTACAAATGTGGATACATGATCCCTAAGTGAGTGATTAAAGGGAGTCAGGTGTACACATGGAACAGAAAATGAAAGATTAAAGTCCAAGAATAAAAGAAAAATAACAGTACGGTTGATGCATAGACTTGAACACTATAAGTTGTGTACAGGCATTACAAGTTTTTATTTGTTAGTTTTCTGAAGCTCGGTCATACTGTGTAGCCCAGGCTGGCCTCAATCTTGGGCATTCCTCCTGAGTGCAGGGGTTATCAGCGTGTGGCGTGTGCCATTGTGCCAGTCACATAATTTAATCCTCATGTAAAATACTAGTTTTTTGTATTGTGCCTGCTAGGATTCAGTGCCGACTGGACACTGGGACCACAGAGTCTAGCCCTTGAGTGTAATGTGCTTGGATTCTTACTATAACTGTAGCATACCTGAACACAGTGTCAGTAAAAGTTTCTCATTTTTAAGGGTTGAAAGTTATTTAAATATAATACGTTGCATCTATTGTGACATTTTTAGTGGTAAGAAGAGATATGGTTTGATTCTTGTAATATCTGAAAACTATATTTCTTGCATTTTAATTTTAAGATTATGTGTACAAAACAAATTAGTGGAATATTTAAGTTTAATAACTTTATTTTGTTTTATTTCCCAGGATGTGATCTTCGTGGTGGGAAACTAAGTTTTTAAACTACCCCAATGGATGCAGACAGTGATGTTGCATTGGACATTTTAATTACAAATGTAGTCTGTGTTTTTAGAACAAGATGCCATTTGAACTTAAGGAAGATTGCTTTGGAAGGAGCCAATGTAATTTATAAGCGTGATGTTGGAGTAAGTATCTGGATTCCCTTTTGTGTACTGTACAGCCTAATCTAACCATGCTGTGAATAATGCTGTATATACAGATAATCTTGCTTGATGCTAGTTGTAATTGATACAACAGGGAGCCCTGTAGAAGTGACTCCCTCATGGAATTGCAAGGTACTGGTGATAGCCACTCAAGCTACTTACTCTGCGTCTTGGTGCAAGCCCTGTTTTAATTGTATGTAAATTTTCCTGTTCCTTTTTAGATAAGATATATTATTAATAATATAAAATGTAATTCATATGCTAACCTAGATTTTAGTTTATATTTTGTGAAACCAGTTACATTTGGGCACAGGCCTTTAACCACAGCACTCAGTAGGCAGAGGCTGGTGGATCTCTGAGTTTAAGGGTAGCCTGCTCTACAGACCAAGGTCCAGGACAGCCAGAGATGCACAAAGAAACCCTGACTTGAACCTCCCTACCCCCCCCAAAAAAAAACCCTACATTTAAAAATGTGTTACTAATAAATAACAAAATCTTAGTGATTTGATGTCAGCTTTATAAATGACAGTGGGTATGCATTTGAAAAATACAACTCATAAACATTAGAAATGTGAGAAATGCAAAATAAAACTACACCAAGATTCCATCTCACCTAATCAGAATGGCTGTCTTGAGGAAAACAAAGAATAGGAAGTACTGGTGTTTAATTACTTTTCTATTGTTGTTCTAAGATACCGTGACCAAGGCAGTTTCTAGAAGCAAGGGCTTGCGGTTTCAGGGTGGGAGCCTTGCCAGCAGGCAGGCAAGCAGACACGGGGCTGAAGCAGTAGCGGGAGTTCCCCAGATCCACAAGGACGAGGCAGAGTTGGGGATCAGGAAGAGACTGACACTGGGAACGGTATGGACTTTGGAACCTCAAAGCCGGTCCCCAGTGTCACACCTCCTCCAACAAGGCTACATCTCCGAATCCTTCCCAAACTATAACACAATCAAAGGACCCAGAGACAGATATTTAGGTTCATACTTAAAACTGAAGATCAGAAAAGCAAAGCATCTGGGCACTGGCTCTTACTCTGCCTCAGCTGAAAGGGCTGACCCTGTCTCTGCAAGCTCTCACCAAGCCTCTTCAGCATGGCTGGAGAATCCTGAGACTTCAGTGTCTTCCTTTCCTCAATGTGGCTGGAGAATGAATGCCTGATACTGACCTTGCTCCTGTCTGTATAAGACACCTCCCTAATGCTGGGATTAAAGGCGTGTGATCCCAGGTGCTGAGATCACCTTTGTGTGAGCTGTTTCTCTTTAGGGCTGGATCAATCTTGTGTAGATCTGGGTGGCCTTGGAGACTCATAGAGATCTATCTACCTCTTAATCCTGGGTCCTAGGATTAAAGGTGTGCACCACTACCTCCTAGCTTCTGGCTGCTGGGATTAAAGGTGGGTATCACCACTGCCCAGCCTCTATAGCTTAAAGCTGACTTTGGTTTTCTAAATCCTCAGGCAAGCTTTAATAAAATATAAATAATATGTTACCATCACCACACCAAACACTTCTATCAACAGAGGACCAAGCATTCAAACAGGAGCCTATGGACCATTCTCATTCAAACCGCCACAGCTGGCAAGGATGTGGACAAAAAGATTGGGGATAAGGTGGATCCTTACCCACTGCAGAGCTGTAAATTTAGCATCTATGGAAATAGCTATGTTACAGCATCAGTGTAGGTGACCATAGGGATATGGAAGGATAAAGAAAATGTGTCATAAATATACAATGAGTATGTCATTTCTTCAAGAAGAATGCAATGAAGGTCACACTATTAAGTGAAATAAGCTAGACTCAGAAAAACAAACATCACATACTTTCTCTACTTGCGGATCCTAGAATAAACTGTATAGTATAACATACATACATACATAACGCACACACATACACAGCAGGAGGAAGACAGGGAAAAGGGAGACTATTTGAAGTGGGAGCAGGGAGAAAGGAAAGAGCATGGATGATGAATATGGTGAGAGTGCATGATATATTTATTAAAGAAATTCTTATAAATCCTAGCACTCTAAAATGACTAACACAGATTTTTAAATGGAGGGTAAGGTGTTGTACAAACTATGCATTAGGATGCCCAGAACCCAAGTAAAAGATAGGTGTAGTCTTGCCTCTTGATTGGTGCTGACGGGAGGGGGCAGAGATGAAATCACTGGAAGTGTATAGACCAGTCTGCCAGTGAGCAACAGGAGAGGGTGTCTCAGTGAAAACCGGGACTGGAACACACGCTGGTATGCCACACACGTGCCTGCACACATACACATGATCATACATAGCATAGACACCCAGCACACAAAAGGTTTTTTTAAGTTAAGAATCTATTTAAAAGCTCAGTTTAAGTTCTAAAAACTAAATGTCAGCTACCCTAAGCAAATTTTCTCAAGTTCTTAGAACTAGAATAGAACTAGAAACTAAGAACTAAATTCAGCTATATAAAAAAAAAAAAAATCTCATTGGCCAACTAAGATTTTTAAACATGTTAGTAATATTATCTTCCCTTAACAAAAAACGAATACACAGGAGGTCAGGTGTCAAAACACACATCTGTTGTCCGCACCTAGACTGTAGGATCATGCATTGTTGGCTAGCTTGGTTACACAGTAAGACCCTACTCAGAAAAGCAAAAGCAAACGAGAACTTAACTCGACAGTCTTGAGGTTGGAGAATACTAATGTGCATATGATGATTCAACAGGAGAACTCTGGAGGGAGACAGGTTGCAGACCTTTTCTAAGAAGTCTGCTTCCACACCTATAGCTCAGTCTTCAGACTTCCACTGTGTTCAGTATTGAACACGGTTTCACGATGGGGACTTGAACACGTATTTCTGCCTCGCCTAGACTTGGCATTGCATGTGGACATTACACAGGCACCTAGGACAGAGCTGTCTGAAGATCGATGCTTATTAGATGATTGAATTTTTTTTCCAGAAAGTATTAATGAAGCTTAGAAAACCTAGAATTACAGCTACAATTTGGTCCTCAGGAAAAATTATTTGCACTGGAGCAACAAGGTGAGTGATACCTGGGTAAGTTTTATCTTTTGCCTTGCTCTCTATGGGAGGGACTTAAAATCACAGTTGCAGTTGCTCATGCTTTTCGAATAGAGGGCATTCATTGCCTTTGCCATAATAATCTTTTTTTTTTTTACTTTACAGTGAAGAAGAAGCTAAATTTGGTGCCCGACGTTTAGCCCGTAGTCTGCAGAAACTAGGTTTCCAGGTAACATTTTCCAAAGATATGCATACTGCAGATGTTCCAGGGTTTAACTTTATAAAGTTAAAATGTTAATAGACTAAACAAATCTCAAGAATTTGGTAACCAGGAATGGCTCCATGGGGATTTGGGAAAGGTCCTGGTTTTCCCTAAATTGTTTTCCCATAGAGACTTGTTTCCTTAGGAGTGACTGCTCTTTGAACTCGAGTTTTTCCTTTCTCTGCTATACACATACATTCATCAGAAAATATCTTTTGACACTTAAAGAATAGCTGTCCCCAGGTCAGTGGTAGCCCACACCTTTAATCCCAGCACTCTGGAGGCAGAGGCAGGTGGATCTCTGTGAATTTGAGGTCAATGTGGTCTGTAGGGCTAGTTCCACAACAGCCACGACTACACAGAGAAACCTGTCAGGATGGCGAGAGAGCTGGATAGAAAGAACCCTTTCAATGCAGACAATAGGTGGCACCCACTCGTGTAATATCCCGCATTGCTGATTTGTATACTTTCAAGTATTTTGTAACAGTCAAAGTGTAAAAATTACTACTTAATCTGTAGCCTTGGTAGGTTATGTTCAAGTGAGTAAACTAAAGCAAAAGGTGAGATGTCCTTGAAGAGGTGTTCTTGGGTAGGACTCTAGGAGAAAGTATAAAACCAATGGGGAGAAGGGACCACAGTATATGAAGAAGTGGCAGAGGAAACTTTGAGGTGTAGCTGTGGTATGGATCTAGCTTTAATGCTTTGTGCAAGCTCTGGGTTGCAGAATGGTTGTCACCTAGAACTGATTTGGGGAGGAAATGCTTAACTGTGTGTGTGTGTGTGTGTGTGTGTCTGTGTATGTGTGTATACATACATACATACATACATACATACATACATACATACAGCACAGTGGTAGAGACTTGCCTGGAATATATAATGCATTGCATTTAATCCCTAATATCCCCCCATACACACACACAGGGAGAGAGGTGGGGGAGGGACAGAGAGAGAGAGAAGAAAAAGGAGAAATACTTTTTAGAAAGACAACAAACAATTGAAGATGTAGGCAGGAATAGCTATAAATGTTAAGAAAACATTACTTGCATGCTGGGTAATGGTGACTTATACATTTAATCCCTGCACTAGGGAGGCAGAGTCAGGTAGCTCTGAATTCAAGGCCAGTCTGGTCTGTAGAGAAACCCTGTCTTGAAAAACAAACAAAAACGTATTTAAAAAGAAGTTATTACTTGCAGCCTTGAAGCTTCTTTCCCTAGCATAAGCTTCTTGGTGTTCAGAGAATCTCTACTAGTTCAAATCAGCACAAGGACCAATATCTACCTGAGCCCACAGAAGTGCCTTTCCATTCAATTTAGGAGCTCAGCCTTCACTCTATATTGAATTCTTTAAGTGACAGCTTTTCCATCTGATTCTAGAATCCCTTATCCCTTTTACCTCCTTCGCTTTTCTTGCTATTTACTAGGTTTTAAATGTTCCATTTTCAATATTAAGTTCATACATAAAATTTAAAAGATAGCCTAGTTTCAATTACACAAATACCATTTTATAATATTATGGATTTTTAATTAATACAGATTGCCATGAGCACCTTTTTGTATATGCTTCAAAATAATTTATATAGTTTTACTTCTCTCTCATAGGTAATTTTTACAGATTTTAAGGTTGTGAATGTTTTGGCAGTTTGTAACATGCCCTTTGAAATCCGTTTGCCAGAATTCACCAAGAACAATAGACCTCATGCCAGGTAGGTCTTTGGAGAATCAAGATAACATACAACCTTTGAAGTTGCCATTCGGTATAAATAACAAAACATAATTGTGTTTTTATATAGCTATGAACCTGAACTTCATCCTGCCGTGTGCTATCGGATAAAGTCTCTAAGAGCTACATTACAGATATTTTCAACAGGAAGTATCACAGTGACAGGTAATCTATGACATGGAACAGCAACTGCTCTGGATTGTGTGTGATTCATTGATGAGAAAGGATAGTGTGTAGCCAAGCCAGAGGCAGGTGAACCTCTGAGTTACAGGACAGCCTGCTCTACAGAGTGAGTTCCAGAACAGCCAGGGCTACACAGAAAAACCCTGTCTCCTTCATAGGAAGTCAGTCTTCTGACTTCAGGCTCTGTAGGTTAGTTTTCCTATTGTTGTATTACTTACATCTGATCTATACTTATCTGTGTCTGCCTGCCTTCATTTTTATCTTAATGAGGAAATGAGGCTCATTCTTAGCATCCAACCTACTCTCGTTGTACCTAGTGTACAATTATACTCTCTGCAGATATTTGAATAAGAATATTCCACTATAATCTTCAGAGTACACACATACACACACACACATATATCTAGTGTGTTAATGTATATTAATGTATGTATATTGCATTTAAATTACCTAGGAAAAACCTAAATTATGAGCTCTGGAGAGAAGCAAAATGTTCAGATGTAAATGATTCTTGTCTGTTATGTTCTCCATGTGTTTCATTATCTCTTTTGAATCTTTTAAGTGGTTGGAAGGGGTGGCTTCACAAGGCATGCATGTCCAGGGAGGCATTAGCTTGCAGGCTGATTTTTTAAAATGTACTGTGATAAGTTGTACATGGACATTGCTTAGGAGTCAGGCCCCAAAATAAAACTGAGCTAAGCTAGATAGATTCCTCAGTCATCTTTAAATTTTGCTTCTTCGATTAAACCAGCTGCAGTTTAGCTCATGTCAGATGTTTTCCTATCTTCCTGGGATCTTTCAAAGCCAATTGCCAGACTCCTACCCGAATCTTAAAAAACAGGGCCGTGAGGAACTGTTTCATTGTTCTCTTATTTTAGATGCTTCTAAACTTCTGGGCCTAGATTTCTGAGAGGTCCAAATGTATAGGCATGCCCTTACTAAGTATAGAATAATACAGTGGAAACCTCAAGACAAGTGTATGTGCTGGGTGTGGTAGTTCATGTCTTTAATCTTAGCACTCTGGCAAGCAGATCTTTGTGAGGTCAGCCTGATCTACATAGTTTCAGGCTAACCAGGGCTACTTTGTGAGACTCTGACTTAACATACCCCCATTCCCACCCCCAGAATATATTTATTGAGTTGATAAACAAGACACCATAACAAATTTAAGGAAGTTAACCTTGTTAATTACTATGCCTTGTGTGTTGTTCTTTTGATACAACTCTTGCCTAAGAAACACAAACACGAGATTCAGCACCCACGTGGAGTTTATTGAGAGAAGGGAGAGAAGGGGGGGGAGGGTAGCAGGTGGCCAACCAAAAGCAGGGGAGAGAGGGGGATGGAGAGAAAGAAAGAGCAGAGAGAGAAGGCCAGAGAGAAAGAGTAAGAGAGAGGCGCCCTTGCTTTAAAAGGGAAACTTGCGCATGCCTAATTGAATCCCCTGGCAGCCAGGTCAAGCCTGACCCAGTGATGACATGGCCATGAGCATCCTGCCCATCGTCGGGGGCGGAGTCAGCAGACTGCTGGTTCCCAATATTGTGTGTGTGTGGTTATTTCTTTTTAAATGTCTAATTACTGAATTGATAGGTGATTGATTAGACAGCTGACCTGGTTAATTACTACCCATGTGTACATATATACATCTGGAATGTCCTAGAAATGGATAGTTTCTGAGAGCACTGTAACATAAACAGTGGGAGGAAGAGCCAGACAGGAATGAATAGAACATGCTGCTTAGTCGGTACATATTTAAGTTTTTGTGACTTTTCAAGAGGTAACTATGTATTAGCACAACAAGTTTGGTTTACAAATTTAAGAAACCATTTCTCTTTTTTAGTGTTCCCTTTGATCGTTTAAATGATCCAGGGTTCGGTGGGTTAATTACTAAATAATGAATTACTACATAGCATCGCCTCGTCATCACTGGTTCTTCCCCCAGAACTCTGCCAGATTAGATAAGCTCTGCGGGTCAGCTGCCACCTCAGCTGGCCAGAGACTCTTAGACCCTATATAATGTAAGAACCAGCATTGCATCACCTGGCTGGGTCCCTCATGGCCTGTGACCTTCAGCTGAGTCAAATCTGATGACAGTGGCCAAAAGGGTGGCGAGTATCCAGTCAGTTTGTCCTTCCTCCTGAATTGATTGCAATAATACCATTTGTCCTACTCTGGCAGAGCAGTTTTTCATGCCAGTGTTTAAAAAACTAAAGCACATAGCTTTATGTTTTATTGTCTAGAAAGGAAATGTGTTCTCCAAAGAGCTGTTAAGTGCATTTAACTCTTGGAGTCAGTTTTCCTAGCATCCCTCTCTGGGTTCCTCTTAACACTTCCTTATTTTGTTGATTACAGGGCCCAATGTAAAGGCTGTGGCCACTGCTGTGGAACAGGTGTACCCATTTGTGTTTGAAAGCAGGAAGGAAATTTTATAACTCATTTGGTTGGTTAGTCTCTAACTGAGCACCTTGAAACCTGCTGCACATTGGACTCAAAACACAAGGAAAACTGGACCAACAGTGACTGAGGAATAGACTCCTGCTCACGGCTACAGTGTGAGCTCCAGTCCCTTTGGATTTCACTTCAAACTTTGCTGTAATATAAAAAGGAAGTTTACAAGACGTGACATTGCTGCTTTTACAAAAGGACATTCTATTTATTTTCGCAGTAATTCTCATGTCCCCACAGGCAGAGCTGTCACAGTGTGCACTACCTTAAGAAATTGTTTTATTGTTGTCATTATTTTTCCAGTTTGAGCTAATGTGTTTTATTTGTGAATAGTCTTTTACATTTTTGTATGCTGAATATGGGCACCAAAGAATCTGTAAAAGTTATCTTTTTAAATTGAATGTGCACAAATAAAAGTTTGGAAAAGATCTCTCTTCATATCCATTCTGTAACTTTTATTCACCCTGTAACTTTTATTCACCATTTCCTCTTTTAAACAAACTGTATTCATAATTTTTTAAAATCTATGCAGGCTTAAACTTTGGCTAAGGTATGTGGGCTTCTTTTTGAAGTGTGTTTGTATATATCTATATATATGTGTGTGTATGCTACATGTATATAGTATCTTTTCATGCTCTGTTACCAAATATCAATTAGAATCTTTTCTTGCAGATTAGAAATAAAAGAACATGTATATAAGCTCTAGGTAACTAGGGTAAACAATAATGTTTTGTTACTAATTTGATATGGTAAAAAATGTTAAGTGACTTTTAAAAGCGAAGAAATTGTAGTTTTAAAGAGGCCTTTTCCTCCCTGGATGGGTATGGGAAGGAAGCTGTGCTAGGTGGCACCTCCCATTACCTGTGTTACTCTGCAAAGACTAGCTGTAGATGTAGGAAGAGTTGAGGTTCTTACTAATCTTAGGTTGGTGCTCAAGGCTATACTACAGTCTTGTCAGAACATTGTTTTCACAAGAAGTGCCCACAAGCTGTGTCTGTGCCACGGCATAGTTGTACTTGAACCAGAGAGCTATCGGCAAGCTGGTCTGTGTCCTTGCTTTGTCTTATTAAGTGGAGGTGAAGGGTGACGAGTATGTGAGAGCGCTGTCTTAAAGTTATAATATTTGTATGAAATAGAGCCCTCACCCATGTGTGGGCTCTGGATGGAAAGGCAAGATCAGATAAGTATTAGTAAGCAGCGGTGGGTTTTACATACAAATGAGCTAGGCGGAGTAAAATTAGATTCTCCGCATAAACTAAACTATTTCCCATGAATTATTAATATAGTTTGAAATGTTTGCAAAAGTTTGCACCACCAGAGCCTCCACGTTTAGTACATTTTCTACACATTATACCCTCTTAAGGCTTAAGCACTATACTGAACAATGCATAGGACTCTGTTATGTTCGCTTTTGTTTTCTTCTAAAAGCTGTCTCATACCTGCCTGTCACTCCTTCAAAAATAGAGGCAAAGGCTAATTTTTATACTTGCTTTTCCCATAGTTAATTGTGATTTTTCTTAAGTCTTTGATTTTTTTTAATTGTTTTTATATTTGTTTTTATGTGCTTTAAGATCATTAGCCAAAATCCTGACTACCAGGCAAAACTAAAATGCAGTTGGAGGTAGACTGAAGCTCTGAGGTCTTCCCACGTGTTTTATTAGCAATGACCTATTCTGCAGTGTTCACTGACACACAAATCTATATGTGAGCAGACTGGGGGGGAAGGTGCACATCCAAATGACCTAACATATTCAGTGTTCAGCGGCTTGAAAGCCAGGCAGATCTGAAGCTCTTGGCAATTATCTGAGGAGTGAAGAGGGCGTGGTCAAGTCTGGATGCTCCTACAGTGCAGGCATTACCTGGCCACTTCCTGGGCAGTCCACTAAACAAAGCTGGGAAGCAGAGTCACGTCACCTGGATTTCTACAAGTACTGTAAAATTTTTATATAAATAAAAACTGTGAATATATACATACAAACTTTAAGTATTTCCCCTTTTTATTTTTAAAAACCAAAGGCTTCATGTGCTGGGGATGGGGTCAGGCTAATACCGGGTAAAAACTCATTTTGAAAACAAGTGTTTAGTCCATACTTGGTAATAAGAGAACATTAGGACATTTAGGATACTTACATTGAAGTCATTCATAATAAGGTGCTGGTTTCTGGCCCATTCACAAGGAATACGAGAGAGCCAAATATGTGTGTCCATATGTGATTAAAACAATCATTTAACAATGTTTAAAATATCTTAATCTAATACCTGGGGGGGTTGAAAAGAAAAGGCTTGGGTTGATGACTTGCCTTGAGTTTTGTTTGTTTTAGAAGTGGCATGTAATTCTAGAGACACATGATAAACTACTGCTCAGCAGAACACGCCTTGCCCTCTCCCCACAGCAAACAGAAAACAGCACACGTTACTTGATGTGACATACACCACGTCAGACCAAGACCAACCTCCCTCACAGATTCTTCCTGCCACCTTTAATTTAGATGATACATTTCAGAACCAGGCCTTGTCCGTCCGTCATGCTCCTAAGGCTGGCGGGGCTGCTCTCCCTGCTGCTGCGCAGGCTCACTGCACTTTGCTAGAAGGCAACGTGATGGACCGTGTACCCCTATCAGACTGGGACCATTTGCTAGTGAAAAGGAGAACATCCCAAGTTAAGGGATTTGGGCTCTTCTTGCGGGGGGAGGGAAGTAAAATTTCTTTGAATTATTTTCCAAGTTAGGCCGTTTGTAGCTTAAGGGTAATTGTGTGTTTGTGTGTGTGTGTGTGTGTGTGTGTGTGTGTGTGTGTGTGTGTACCTTCCATAGTTTATTAAGTGATTCAATTTTCTTTATCACAGGTTTTCCTATTATATACAAATCCTGTTGTTGAAATGTTTTGTCAAATCTTAAAATTCAACTGGAAAAATGGGTCAAAGAAATTCATCCTGTGGGTAAAAGCCCACATTGCTGGTATCGCTCACCACTGTCCATCACAGGAGAGACAGGGACCTATCCTGATGTCTGTGTCATTTATTCTATCTGCATTCATCTCAAAGTGAGCAATAAGAGGCAGCCTGCTGGTGCCCGAGGTAGAGCGATTCCTGAGGAATGTGAAGAATAGCAGAAAGCTGTGGGTTGCTGCCCGTTACCACAAAAGCCTTCCCAGGACACATGTATAGATTTGACGTTACAACTTAAACCTAACTGCTTAGAGATCTGGATAAATGATAATCTTATGTTGGACTCCTTTTCTAATATTCACTAAGCTGTTTCTAAATAAATATGGCTCTGGGGTTTTAAAATTGATTCTTCTAATCTTTTTTTTAATGGAAAAAATGGTTTATCTTAGCATTTAAAAAATTTGACAAAATTTATAAAATAATATTTTGATTAACTAATATGTCTTTATGGGTGATGTGCTAGCTGTGTAATTTTGAAACTGGTGGACTTGAGTTGTCACTAGAGCCTTACCCAGGATACCATAGTCCTAATCCACAACGTAGGTGCAATTGAATCATCCACAGGGTTTAGACAGAAGGCCCAGAGCGAGGAGTGCCTTCAGAGGCAATGATGATGCCTCTGTGTCTAAGTATTAAGCTAGGACTGGCATCCTACACAGACAGCTTAAGGCAGAGGCTGGCCTTGTCACCAGAACTTAGTCTTTCAAAGGCTGCACCAAAGAGAAGGTAGAAGGTATTAAATCTGCCGGGATTTTGTTTTGTGGTGCCTGATATATTAAGGCATCGGTGGTGCCTCATCTACCTTTTGGCAAAGGTCCATTTGGGGAAGAGGAAGTAAAGGCTGACTTTCTAATGTCAGGATATCCATGTACGTTCTCCAGAACCCCCTTAAGCCCTGTCATTGCACCATATGTGAAGATTTTCGTTCCTTAGTTAGCTGGAGAAGGCTGCTGTGGCTGTCCCCTTCCACACAGGTTTTTACACTCCGGGAGCTGCTCTCGGGGCTTTCTTTTTTGAAGCGGGGTTGGCACTAATTCTTCTTGGTGATGACTCATAAAACAAATGTTGTTTTTCACATAGTTCCTGAAAGAGAGAGAGAGGCGCTAATGAAAATGTCATTCCTCATTTATATAGTACTTAAAAGAAATCTGCAGCATTATCATTTTAAAAATCACCCTGGGGTTGTCATGGTTTTAGTTTATGGAAAAACTTTTTTTTTTTTTCATGGTGAATCCTTAATGAGTTGAGAATTCTGATATGTGCCAACAGCCTTTGGTCAAACTCATGCAGAGAGTAAAAGTTAAGTAGCTGTCTTCTCAGAACGTGGCCATAGTACCCCTCTTTATAGGCCAGGACTCCGAGAGTCCTCTAATGTTACCAACAAAAAAGGAGTGGTGATCACCCCAAATCTTGATTCATTTTCTTGCATTTTTCTAGCTCCCCATTGTGCCCATGTTCTGCCTTCCACTCCGCTTTTCTACAGCACAATGTTTCCCACCAAGATACAGTCTGCTCTATCCTTTCAGTTAACAGAAAAAGGCCTTTGAACCTTTCTTCCACAGGGAATGGAATGGGAAAAGGTGGGCGGTGTGGGTGGAGTTGTATACTGTGGCCTCCAAGGGGCTTGTGCTTTCAGAGGCCACGTTCAGAGGCATGTACTTAGCATGTAAAAGTGCTGATGAGAAAACAAATTGAGATAGAGAGGTGAGGCAGGAATTGTTGATCAGATGTTCAGCACCTGGAGCTCAAGTTTGGGAGTCTTTGCCAAGATTCCCAGAATACACTGGGACAGTACTTAGAGAGACTGTAGTCTCTAGCCATGCATGGGGGAACCTGGAAGCTTGATCTTCACAGATGGCAGCAACAGAAAGTGAGAGGTAGTGTTGAAGTATCATCTCAAAAAGCTGGAAAGGCGGCGGCACCCTTAGGGAACTGTGACAGGTGGCAGGCCATCATCCTAAAGCTGAGAGCCTCAGGGTTACGTTCCTAACCTTAAAGGAACTGGTCAAATTCCATGTGTTCCTCACAGCTAGGGCTGAAATAAACTGAGAAATCTTAACCAAAGGTTTTCCTAAATGACCGGATGGGATGGATGGGTTGAAGAGTGACAAATGTAAGCCATGTAAGAGAAGCGAAGGTGGGTGGCAAGCACCTGGGGCTTCACAGTCCTGGGGAAGGACTGACCATCTCTTGAGCACAGTTCTTGGGAGGTACTTGGGGGAAATGGGCAGGGATAGGTCCCTGGGTGATTTGTAGTGGTGATGAGCAGGAGGCCAGCCACTGCGTTATTCTCCATGACAACACTGTAGGGTGTCTTTACTTGGGTTCTCTTTCCTGACCATTCAGTCAGCCTCAGCCCCTACTTCACTGAGACTCCTGCAGTCTCCACCCGTATGTACCATACTATCCTGGAATACCTGGCTTCAGTGATACTTTGTGCCTTTGTCTTTCCTCCATCCTCACCATTGGCCGGCTCCTTCT